CGCTCTTCACTGCTGTAGCTTGTTGGCTTGGGGAGCGTGTTGAGGACTTTTTACTACGTGCGTGTAAAGCGCAGCTTACCAAAGCTAGTACTAGCACCGGACTAGGAGAACTGCTTAATACGTCCATATTAGTAACGTACTTTTAGCACATGTAAGGCCTTTGCCTAAAAATACATCCTGTGTTTGTGCATTCAAAATTTCTGTCAGAGATTTAAAGTGTAGCAGACTCTCCAAGGGATCGGAGTTGAGCTTTTGGTTACACAGAAGTGCTTACTTCTTCCGGCAGAAAATGGTGTTTCAAACGAGGAAATTGACGTGAACAAGACATTCTGTGTAACTCGCTTTTTCTCAAAGGGACAGCGAGGGAGAAGGGTGGGGTGAGGCTGTGGTAGCCCGAGACAGTGGAAAAATACTGTGTCTGGACAAGTTTCACTTGCCATCTCGTGAAGTAAAACTGAAAGTAAGCTTTCTTCTGACTTGCACATTTAGAAGTGGAAGTCCTGTGGCATCCACCTCCAAATAATCTGAAATATTTACATTAATGCTGGATTTGCCTAAACTTGTCACTAAACAGTAGAATTCATGTGGATAAGAATCTTCTTGATCTCTCCTTTTTGCTGGTGTTTGTATGTGTGTTTGTGGAAGTTATTTCAGTTGTTACATGTTTTACTTAAAGGCATGCTACTGTATTTATGAAATGCTGTTGGCTAGGTGCTACTCTTCAAGAAGCAGAGAGGCTTCAAAAATTCAGTGGGTAAAGAGGATGTTTTCAGTACAGTGAAAATAAGATCACAAATGCTAATGTAGTTTATTAAAAAAATAGTCTTTTCACCATCTAATGGACAGATTATTTAATACTTAAATGTGATGGCAGCAATCTCAAGATCTCTCGCAGTTAAATACTTAATTCACATTTCGATGAAGCTCTTAAAACAAAAAACAAATAGTTGGCCATTTGTTTAGAGAAGTTCAGCCTCAGTTTATTGTTTTCTAAATCACATCTCAACTAACTTTTGCTGTTCTTTGCTCCACTTCTACTCATTCTGAAAGAACTTCTCCTCGGTCCTTGCACAGTAAGCACATTTTTTTTTCTGTCTGCAATGCTGACTGACTTTATGAGCTTGTCTTTTTATTTGTGTTTATTGGAGTTGGGAAGACCTCTGGGCAACTGTAGTTTGTCTTGAAGTTTGGCATAAAATCAGTGTTGTAGTTGAAAATATATTTGTTTCTTAAATGCAAATGGTAACTTTCAACACGTATTGTGGACTCTGAGAATCCTTGTGGAAGATGCCTGCCGCGCTGCACCTTGGTACTGTGGCATATAAGGCCTCTGACCTACCCGCATAAAGATAGTGGCAGCATCACTGTGGAGCTCTCCACATCATCTGTGAACACTGTGAAAAGACAAAGATTAACTAGCATGATTCTTCAGCCTCTAGGAATCTAGCTAAGTTATTTTGCTTTCGAGTCGGTACAACTGCCTCAGGACTGATAATCAGTAACTTCCTTAAGATAAGATACCAGCAAGCCGTAAAGGGGAACCTGTAAAGGTTTTTTTGTTTGATCTTCAATCAAATTGGATGCTTAAGATAACTTAAAGATTGATGACTTCAGTTCACTTTCCTGTGGAAGGTAGCAATGTTTACTCTTGCAGCTTCTGTGCTCAGTAAAGCTAGTTGGATTGGTGATCTGTTACCATGGAATTAATATTACGTGGTCTTATTTTACATGTGGAGTGAGGTACACTTTTAGTGTGCTACAGGGAAATTCTCTTGCATTTCCACATGAAATTAGTGAAGGCGTGCAAAACCTGTGCTTCTGGTATAGCAGTAGCAAAATATCGTTTTCTAATCTTTGCCACTTTTAAAATAATGGCAGAAAAAATTAAGTAAAATGCAATGTCTGCATAAAACTTCATGTAATATGGTGTGGGATCAGATTAGGTATTGAGAAACCTTGAAGTTCTTAAAACTGTTCTTTGGTCTATGCTGATTCCAGCTCTTGTGCTTTATTTGCTCATTTGTGAGGACAAGAGAAGGAACCACTTTTGTAGTTTAATAAAGAAAATGTTTGTGTAATCATCTGCTAAGTGGATAGACTACCTTACAGACAAATTTATTTTGCACGTTATTTCTTTAAACTTAGAGATCCACACTGAATAAGTAATTGTGGTGCAAATGCATAAGAACTTAATATATTTAAATTCTTTCAAAAAATCTTTGAAAAAATATTTTAATAACTTTTTAAAGAATAGGTCCTGCAGTTGTACCTGTGCACAAAATAGAACTCTTTCTGCAGCTGGCTTTACCAAGGAAGTCCTGGAACTTTGTAAATTAGGTCCAAATTTAAACCTGTATAGTATACAGTTCTTGGGTGACCTGTGGTGCACAGGTTGGTTGGTCTTTTTGCAGGGGAGTGTAGAGACAGCGTGTATGACTTAGCAGTGGGACTATGTGTTCCCTGGAGGATTGTTACTCAAGCAGGATGACTCCTGCCTGGGCTGCTGTCTGGCCAGAGGGGGCTGTTGGACTGGCCGGGCGGGCTCTGCTTTCTCAGTCCCTGACAAGTAGCAGACTGTGCCCTAGGGCTACCAGAGCTGAGGCTGCAGGGCTGCGGGTTTGAGTAGTCGGGGGTGGGGGAAGTGGGAAGGAAGGAAGAGGCAGGGTGAACTGCTCTGTGAGTGGGAGAGGAGGATCTGGTCAAATGAGGGGTGTTGCCCATGGCAGAGGGCCCACAACAGTCGGTGCCTATGGCAACAGTGGTCTTGTGGCCCCCTTGCTTGGGCTTTCTTCCTGTACAGTTGAAAGCTGGAATCTGAATTGGCTTCAAAGCTTGGCTGTCGCTTTTAGTTTTCCTTCTGATGTGCTCCTGCTTAACGGTTGAGACCTTTACCCCTTTTATTTCATCTTAAGGAGTGTGCGAGTGGTAGAAACCCTTCATGTAAGGCTGAAGAGACAGGTTTGAATTTAGGCTGGGCATAATTAAAAAATGAGTTATTAAAGCAAATGCTTGCCATACAAACTTATTTTTCTTTCCTGTCTCTTTCAGTTCCTTGATGACTTAAACAGGTGGAGTCTGCTTCTCATTTCTCCTTTTATTTATCCTGATAAGTTACTTAAAGCAGAACATATAGCTTTTGTGACAGAAAGCATTTCAGCTCAGACAGATAATTTGCAGAAGGTACCTGGCACTACAGAAGAGGTAAGTAGTTCTCTTCATTTCTTACTGTAGAAAGTAGTACAGGCGGGTCTTTTAGTAGGTGTGCACCTAAAACACTTGAGGGGAAAAAAAATCAATGGCAGATAGATTTTATGTGTTTAGAATGTTATTTGGAATAAAAAGATAAACCCTTCATTAAAATGAATCACAGTTAATACTCTAGCTCTGTTTGGGTCTTCAACTAGACCCACAGACACTTCATTGAGTTTTTTTAGTATCACACTTCTCTGGCTGTGGGTGGGAACTGGAGGATTCTGTCATGGCTTTGGATAAGGCACGTATGGTTAGATACACTGAATAGGAAAAAAATGCTTGAGAGCTGTCCTACTAAGGCAGATCAGAAATCCATTTGCTCAGTATCCTGTGCCTCAGTAAGAATATACAGAGCAAGCATATGTTAAGATTTCTGAAAAGGTCTCAAGTGTCCAACCAAGTGTTTCTGAAAACCTGTAATTGAAACAGAAGTCTCTCTCGGAAGCTTCCTTTCACTGTGATTTATAAATACAAGTTAAAGTACTGTACATTTGGATAATTTTGTCAATCTGTAGAAGTAAGGCCAAAATCAAGCTTTTAATCCCTTTGCTTTTCTATAAAATGCAGTGGGGGAATGGCAAAGTTTCTTCGTTGGTATTTTAGAAATTGTGTTTGCCTTTTAATCTGTGATACTTACAAAATGCTACTGAGGCATCCAAGGATATAAATTAAAGAAATCTTTAGGGCAAGCATACTTAGAAAATTTTCATGTTCCAGATACTCAGAAATCTCAAAAAAGTGTCTTCTCCGTTACAATCTGTGAAGATGTGGATTTGAAAGATGATTCTAAAGCTTAAACTACTGAATATATAGCATCTCTAAACAGATTATGCATAAAAATTGAATCCCTACCCTATCAAAACTTACTATGAACTTGAGTTAATGTGTCTCTCTCCCCTGAATTTTGTTGGGTTTATAACTTTTTCCTCACATGAGGAATACTTGCTGCCTAGGTGTCTCAGCTTGGATACAGGTCTGAAAGGGGAGAAAGGTTGTAACCTGAAGCAAAAGATAAACTTACATTGCAGGGAGGAAAAATCCAAGCAGTGCAGGTTGTCACAGCTCCTTCCTGAAGGCATTCAGTTGTTGTGTGTGCTGTATGCTCTCCATAGTGAAGATGAGAGAATGGACCTCATTGCCTGCTGGAAAGAGGAGAAATGGAAAGACATGCATGCTAGGGTATCACTGGGAGGCAGTAATAAAACATCTGTCCTGGTCGCTGGGGTACCATGAAATCAAGAGCCCTCACACTAAATAGGCTATGCCACAGGCTGGGATCACCACCTGGCAGCAGTCGATAAGGTGTCTTCCTGAAGGGCCCCTGCCTGGCACCTTAAAGGACCATCTGTCATCCGTGCTTTTTGGCATCAGTTTCAAGCTCCTCTTTGGAGTTAAAGGAAATCTGTCACATAAATAGGTACTTGTGGCCTGTCTGTTTCCTGGATGAGGAACATGCGTTTTCCAGGCCGCTTGTTCACCCCAGCAAAGGACTCCTGGATCATCTCCAGAACACTGGGAGCAAAGTGGTTGGTAAATAGTCTTATCGAACCTGAGCACAGGAGCAGGAGGACGGGTTGGGAATGGGTGCAATTCCAGATTTGTGCCTGCAGTAATAATTTTTGGTACCTTCACCCTCCATGGAGGTCAGTTCTAGAACAGAGCATGCTTTTGGGGCATGTTAGTCATTGCCCTCTGGAGGAATTATGTCCATGTGAAGTGCTGCATTAGGCAAAAGCATTATCTCCATGAAGCTCAAGTGTGAGGACTGGAAGCACTGACAGCTTGTTGAAAACTGAGACGTTTTCTGCTGAAGTCTTCTGACTGTTTCCACTGTTCTTGTTTCCTTGGCACACAGGAAGTACCCACATTCGTTGGTTAGTAAATGTTTTTATGGCCTTTGATGTAAGACTGTGGAACCCATCCATGTGGGCCTTACTTCTGGGTGATAAACTAGATGTGCTCTCTGTGTTGTCTCAGAGTGCACATGGAGAGTGCTGGTCCCATTCACATAGAAGGCTGAGGGAGATTATTTTATTCACTTCATTTTTTTTTTTTTTTCCTTTGTGCAGAGAGGTCCACACAAACATCTGAGTTGAAGCTCTAGCCTGTTGCTCTTTTGGGGCTTATTGTTCAGTGGAGGTTTTTTTAATCATCTTGGTTTTGTTTGCATTTTCTTTAGAATGGATTAAAATGCATTCTTATGTATACATTAATAATTAATTGGATTTGTTAAGCTCAAAAGTGATAGTCCAGGCAAAAGACTGAAACTCTTAAAAAGGAAGAGGACTGCTGTTTGATATTGTTCATTGTTCTTCACTCAAGGCAGTTGGTTGGTGCAATTCTGGGTTACTTGGCCACAGACTTCCCCAGTGGCAGTGGGGTGAAATCTGATTGATGCTTCAACTACAGTGATTCAAATTTACCAGGGTCTGGTATAGGTATATTCTGGAAGGAGATTTTGTCCTTCTTCAGGACTGGTCAATACTAGTGTGTCCAGAAATATGTTCTGTGACTTTAGAGCTGGTATTTCTTTGTGGTACAGTCATGGAGATGAGCTTTTAGAAGGTCCTGGAGCCTGTTGTTGCTTTTAGTAGTGAGCGGTTGTTATGTCCAGGAGTTCAGGACCGAAGTGATAGATCTGTCATGAATTTGAGGGCTGGCTTTCACCAGCTGTGTGTTCTACTGTGGCTTGTTTGAAGCTGTTATTTGCTCTTGTGTTACAGAGTTGGAGTTTAACCCATAAGTTAAGGTGTGCAGCTGACCTTGTGGTAAAGACCAACATGCTGCTGTGCATCTTTTCCTCTTCTAGATACTGAGTTTGTTCATGAAGGTTTAGCATAGGTGATGCATCAGAAGATACCCAGCCAGTTTTTCTGTTAGGTATCCAGAAGCCACCAATGTGAGTATGGACTGGATGGTCTCATTTAATCAGAGGCTTTCTTTGAGGATGACATAGAAAGGAGACGTGACCATTAAGGTTGTATGAAATCTCAGTTTCTTCATGTTCCTGTGGGAAATACTGTAAAATCAAAAGCTGGAAATAGTTTCATTTGGATATTATGTAAACCTCTTAACTGCAGTAGATAAAAGGTAAATTTAGCTGATAGTCTAATAAAGTTATGAGCATGTAAAATATCCAAGAGCTCACTCTCATTTTGTGTACTCAAAAGAAGTGGTTTTTCTTACTGTGTTTGATCAGTGTGTTACATTTTGTGTGTAGGAAGAAAAGGATGAACTTTATGAAAGTGGTTTGGTGATGACAGCTTCAAAGTGCTGGAGCTGCTCTGTGGGAACTGTGCTTTGTCTCCCAGTATATGGACCACATTACGTGGCAAAGGTTCATTTTTTTTAGGCCATGAAAACAAGTGGTGCTCATTGTCTCTAAAACTGCCTTCAGAGGAGAACAATTGTTTTTTGTCCTAAAGAGGATGAAGGCTTTGGTGTCATCCACACAATTTTTACTGAAATTGAGTGCCTTATGTGATTTTTGCTTTCAAAATGGCCTGGTAGATCATGGTGTCAATAGTCCGAATATGGTTTTGTTAGGGACTGTTGTTTTATAAACATAAGGCTTAAAAAGGTCATTTTCAGTTATGAGTCAGCAGACAGATGTGTCGTCTTTATTAATGTGCCCACCTTTCAGAAGGAAACCAAAACTCTTCACTTTTCCTCTACTTGTGGCTTTTATAGTTAAAAAACTTGGATCTCCAAAATAGTACAGTTGTGTAGTTTGTGTTAAGTACTTTCTTTAAAATTAATTCCAGTCTCTGGGTTTGCTGTTTGTGCTGTTCTGGTTTGATAATGTCCCTCTGTTGGCTCAGCCTCCTGTTCTGGTTTTTAATAGCAGAATCCTTTGGGAAGGAAGGGTAAGTTTTATTTTCAGTTCATCTTGCAGACCGATAGTACTATTAGTATTTTGAAATTTTTCTGTGACATTTTAAAACTGAAAAACATGCATATGCTTTTTTCTAGATTGTGAAGTGGTCAGACTATTGTTCACCATTGGCCTATAAACCTGGTGAGCCCTATAAGTTAATTGCTGAAGCAAGTGTAGATAATTTCAGTAGCCTTGGAATAGCATTCATGGAAGACAGGCTTCAAATGGATAATGGCATGGTGCCACACAAGATTGTTTGTAAGTATCTTAAAAAATTGTTTTTTTTATGGTAGAACATGTTTGTTTTATTGTAATTTTATGGATGTCTTTATACCTATATAAAAACCCCTTGCTTTTATTTTGACACAATGTTTTCTTCCTGTTGTCATTCTAAGCAGTTGATCACTCTGTAGGAACACCATATTTTATATGGAATACTGTCCAATAGAGAGATCCTTAAAAAGTTAGACCGGTTTTTGAATGAGTTTCTCTCGTTATAGAGTGTCTTACACAACAACAGAAATAACAGAAAAACAGATCAAAGATTTTAGGTAAATGTTCTCTTTTTTTCAGATACAAAATAAATGTGTATTCAAAGCTAAACATAAGTGGAGAACAGTTGCTGTGACTTGTGCATCTTAACCCTTTAGATCATTGAGAGAAAAGCTCACAGATGTTTTCTAAACAGGGAGATGGATAGCCAGGTGAAGGAGGATGGTGTCATTGATAATTGAATTTTTCATTTTTGGTGGATGCTTTATTTTTTTTATGGGGTGAGTTTAATGGTATCAAAACTGTGAGCCATTGTGTCCTCATTAGTTTAATAGCTTCAGCTAAGACAGGGATGGAGTTCGTGGCTAATTCCACAGAGAGAAGGAAATATCTGTACTTGCACTTTTAAGACCATTCTTAAATGGAATTGTTGTCTGGGCTATAGGAGGTTTGAGCTTCGCCTCCCTTTGCTGCCTGAGATTTGAACTTTTTTTCTGGCACTGTCCTAAAAGTGGCATATTAAGCAATCTGTAGGGAATTGTAGAGTAGTAGGCTGTCAGGAGTAGAGCCACACCATTCCTCCCCCAGCAAAATTCTCATTTCTTCCTGCCTAATTATGTCTTCTTGACTGTGTTTTATGTTTTCTTGGCTGTGTTGATAGAACTGTGGGTCATGTAGAATAATAAGATAATGGTTTGGGCGATTAAAAAAAAACTCCACCTCCCCCAGAAAGGGTTTTTGTTTGGTTTGGTTGTGGAGTTTTTTTGTTTTCTTGTGTATTTTTTTTTTTTTTTTTTTTAATGTAGATTATAGTGCATTGGCAGAAGTCAGGGAATGACAAAATCGAGAACTGTTCCAGTGGGACAGGGTAGGAAAATGCTTACGGTCACAGAATTGTGGAATGGTAGGGGTTGGAAGGGACCTCTGGAGACCATCTAATCCAACCCCCCTGCTAAAGCAGGTTCTCCTAGGGCAGGTTGCACAGGAATGCATCCAGCTGGGTTTTTAATATCTCCAGAGAAGGAGATTCCACAAGCTCTCTGGGCAGCCTGTTCCAGTGTTCCCTCGCTCTCACAGTAAACAAGTTTTTCCCTATATGCAGATGGAACTTCCTGGGTTCCAGTTTGTGCCTGTTGCCCCTTGTTGAGTTGCTGGGCATCACTGAAAAGAGTCTGTCCCCATCCTCTTGACACCCACCCTTTAGGTATTGATAAGCATTGATAAGATCCTCTCAGTGTCTTCTCTTCTTCAGGCTAAATAGCCCCAGGACTCTCAGCCTTTCCTTGTTAAGAGGGAAGTTCCGGTCCCCTCATCATATTTGTAGCCCTCTGCTATACTCTCTCCAGTAGTTCCTTGTCTCTCTTAAACTGGGGATCCCAGAACTGGACATGGTTCTTCCAATGTGGCCTCATTAGGTCAGAGTAGAGGGGGAGGAGAACCTCCCTCAACCTGCTGGCCATACTCTTCTTAATGTACCCCAAGATACCATCGGCCTTCTTGATGACAGGAGCATACTGCTGGCTCATGGTGAACTTGGCCACCAGGACACCCAGATCCTTTTCTGCAGAGCTTCTTTCCAGCAGGTCAACCCCTAACCTTGGCTTGTGCATGGGGCTGTTCCTCCCTAGATGCAGGACCCTACACTTGCCTTTTTTGAACTTCGTGAGGTTCCCCTCTGCCCAGCTCTACAGCCTGTCCAGGTCTTGCTGAATGGCAGCACAGCCTTCTGGTGTGTCAGCCACTCCTCCGAGTTTTGTGTCATCAGCAAACTTGCTGAGGGTACACTCCATTCCTTCATCCAGGTCCCTGATGAATACATTGAACAAGACTGGACCGAGTACTGATCCCTGGGGAACTCTGCCAGCTGCAGGCCTCCAGCTAGACTCTGCACCACAGATCACAATCCTCTGAGGTCTGTCATTCAGCCAGTTCTCAGTCCGCCTCATTGTATCTGATCCATTCAGTTGTTGTTGGAATAGTACTGTTGATCTCCATCCTCCTCACAAATGTATCTGATGTGAAACTCCATCTCGTGGTGCTGTTCTGCAAAAATATGCATGCAAGGAGGGGATGGAAGCTGAGAGAGTGCCCCAGGTTTTTTTGCTTTTCAGGATGTTTTCTCACTCAGTGTGCTGCAGTTACTGTGTGCATGCTAGAACTGCTCCAGGAGAGCAGGCCAATGGAGACTGCTGATGGAATAGCATAGAGGCTGGTAGCTGTGAAATTGTCCTCAGATATGAAAATGTCTTGCTTCAAATTCTGCTCCCAGTTAGGCAAAGAGGACGTTGTTTGAGGGGAATGCAAGTATTACTAAGCAAAGAAAGTGATTGGTCTTGGATCTGGTGTATTGTGAGTCAGTTGACTATTTTGTTAATCAAGCTTCTCACTGAATCTGTTTGAGAAATCAGAAACAAAATCATAGTAAGTTTATTTGGCCTTACAGGAGTGGAGAGGGATTCAGTAAAAATTTGCAGACTTTGATTTGAAATATTACTGAGCCAATATCATGGCTCTACAGCTGAAAAAAACAAAAACAAACAAACAAAACCTTAATGAGAAGTATTTTTTCTCTCCTCTATCTCTAGTTAGTTTTCTCTGCAAGTTTCACACTGACAATAATAATCTTTGCCCTTCTTTTTTCACTTGTACTCACTGGAAAATTTTTATCTTTTCATTTCCATCCTTTTTGGAGGGAGAAAGGGGAAAGTTTTACCAGCTCTACCTATTTGCTAGTTTTCCCTTGGATTCCTAGCTCCCAAGCCTTGCTGTCGGTGCGTAAGTCTCCCCTTCTGCAGACTGAAGGCAGTTCAGATTTTTTTTTTTTTTTACTCCCTTCTATTTGTGCCAAACTTTTATTTGCAGACTTCAGCAATGCAAGGGACGTGGCTCAATCGATCTTACCCAGTATCATCACTTTATTAGCTTATTTCAAAATAATTTATTCCAAAATAGCAGCAAGTGATTTTGCACCCTGCCGTCCTTAAGCAACCAGTACTTTTGGAAAAGTACTTCCTTTGCTTCATTTTGTCCTTTGCTAGGGGCAAAGAGAGAGGGAAAATAACAAGCTGACAAGGTGGTGCATTTATGAGAACATCTTCACGCTCCCACTCATAGGCTGTTGTTCCATTAAGAACAGATCTGCAGCCATGTTTTGGTTTTGTGCAAATATGTTTGCACTTGCACTAAATGCTTGTTTAAATGTGCCTTGTAAATATCGAGTTTTGTGTTCTCAGTCAGACTTTCCAGAATCAAAGAGTCATTAGAGTAAATGACTTGTATTATGAGTGCAAATTTATTATGTTCTTGGCAGGCAGTAGGATTTGGTGTGTCAAACAAGTGAAATTCTCACTATTATACATGATTTGTACTGAAATGAAATCTAAATTCCACTATGGTAGTGATATTCATCATAACTCTTTTAAGATCATCTTTATAACCCTTTTTTCTTATTCTTTAACTCTTCCAGCTGTCCATTTACAGGAATCTGCTCTGAAAGAGTTGGCACAGGTGGCACCATATGTAAAAGAGCAAAGTGTAAGCAGTACACAGGTGGATGAAGTAACTCCTACTGCTACTTCTAGGACTAAATTGGGATTAGGAGTAGCTGAGTCTGCAGGACAAGGTGAAGAGGGGAAATCCAAGCTACAGGAAGACAGTGAGCAGGAAGATGAATCCAGCACTATATCTGACAAAGAGGCAGATGCTGAAGAACATCATCACTTGCACCTTTCCAGCTGTCGTGAATGCCTGCAACTTGAAAACAGTACTATTGAATCGGTCAGATTTGCCTCTGCAGAAAACATTCCAGAACTTTCTGATGATTGCAACAGCAAACTGGAGGAGAAGAATGACGACTATCTAGAAAGAGGAATAAAGAGAGTAAACCTTGCTGGAAAGCCCCCCAATATATTGATTTACCTTGGCTCTGAAACTGCAGAAGTAGAGTTTGAGCAAGTAAAATCAATCCTTCAGGAATGCATTGATGCAGACAGCTACACCATTTATCAGCTGCATGAGGAACAAGTTCTGAAAGCTCCATGGGTTGATAATTCACTGCTGTTGATCGTTGCCACAGAGAAGCCCATTTCTGAAGAGAATCACAAACAGTTTATGAAGTTTTTGTCTAAAGGTGGAAAGATTCTAGGGTTTTCCTCATCTTTTACATTTAATGGCATACAAATAAAGAGAAAAAACAAACTGAAGAAGACCGTTCATGAGGTGGTGGTCTCTAAAATGGACAGCACTGAAATTAAGTTAAATCTTTTGGTCAGTGGCTGTATTTTTGAGGAAGTGATGAAGGAAGATACCAACAAAGTGAAGACATTGAGTCGATTAAATAATGCTGATAAAGATATAGTTATTGTTCATCTGACTTACGGAGACAGTGGAGGGGAAGCCATTCTTTCTCAGGTACGGTGTGTACAGAAGCATTCGTTTACTTTTTGTTGCGTGATGTTGTGGTATACTCAAAAAAAGTTCATTTGTTCCCATTTCATGCTCTTGGAGATGCTTGTCAAGGGGAGGTATGGATGGATGTCCCAGGCAATGCACAAGGGCTCTGAATAGAGAATGGTTTTCACTTGATCTGCAGGAAGCTTAAAGAATGGTAGGGGATGTCCCTGCTGTTCTAATACCTTGTTTTCATCAGGTAGCCGTGCACATGTAGATCATACAAGATCATGGCATGTGGTAGAACAGAGTAGATTTGCATGGCAAGCAAGCATCTTCAGGAGCAAAGCTATCCTTTTCTGCCTGCTAGAAGTTGTGCAGTGACAAAACTGCATTTTGCAGGTTTTGGGAGGTAGGAACATGAAGAGCCAAGCTGTTGGTGGACTTGGAGTGAAAGCTTATACTAACAAAATAAAAAAAGAGACATCCTTACAAAAATAAGGATTATAGTGAAACAGAGAGCCAGGAAAGGATGTAAAATATACCTTGCAAGAAACTGGAAAGATGTCTCCTCTGTATCTTAGTATTGTGAATGAAGTGAACTGTTTTATGGTTTCTTTAGCAGTATTTTTATGAAGGCTAATTTCTAGAAGGATGTTAGGTTTATGATGTTAGCCTTGCTTTTCTGTCATTTAAAAAGCCCCTTTATTCAGTCAGAATGCATTTTTTCTATTTACTGTCAAAATTTAAAATTCTAAAACTTGTTTTTAAATTTCTAAACCTTGACATGTTTTCTGTCAGTAATGTATGCTCCTAATCTAATTGGGGGTCAAGAGGAGGAGGGAGGAAGAATCTAGTCTGATGGAATCTTGCTTTTTTTTTTGTTTGCTAAGTTTTCCTTTGGGCTTTAAACTTTTCATTGCCTACAGTGTAGAATGAGCCAAAATCTTATTCATTCCACTTCAAAATAATAATATCACAGCAAATAGGTATCCCTCCAGTGTCATGGTATTGCAATCTCTGTTAAAAATGCCCAACAAGCAAACAAAACCCACACCTTCTCAAAAAGTTAAACAATGGATAAATTCATGTGTTCATAATCTTTTTTTGTTATTGTTACTCTCTGTCTTCCTGCATAATGGGTGAGGAAGCTTCCGTGGCTGTGTTGAAGGTAAATGTTGATCAATGATTATTTCAATGCTAACAGATACCTGGCTAAAGTTTGGAGTGATGGAAAGGCTGATAAGAGGTGCCATTAAGTTTAGAAAATAAGTCTATGCCTCAGAAGTATTCATCCACCTGGGTGTATAACCTGTCTTATTAAATCTAGAGGATATTCAGCCATTTCCTACTAAAAGTTATAAAGTGAACCTGAAGGCAGCTTGCACATTTTGAGTTAGCCTCAGTAGGAGCCAAGGTAAACACTTTCTTTTCAGCATGGTTTTTCACAATTATATCACTTTCTTTACTCTCTCTGCTTTCAGTCAGCACAGTGAGAGAAGCAGAGCAGGAGTATTTATGTAGATGAGACGTAGAACAGAGACATAGCTGGACAAAATTTGTGAAAGGTTCTGGGACCTATTTCTACCTGTATTTGGTTGAAGGAGAACTTCTCAAGAGCCCAGAGCACTCAGATTTAAGTGCTTACATATCAGGTAGCATACATTCTTCTAGCAATAACATAATTCAGAAATATTCATACCATTTCTTAAAAGTGTTTTTGTCTCTCATCAGTTTAGCGTATTAAATTTGCTAGTTTATTGGAAACTCTGTTGTACATAGTAGAGTGTTTATGGCTTTATGTAGGAAGCTTTGCCACCCATGTGCTGTAGGCTTGTACTAGAAAATTGATTAGATACTGCTGCTATCCGTTTCTGCAAGTTCCATGGTAAAACCTGCTTTGCTATACCCTTTAAATTGACCCTTCTGCTGCAGTAAAACTTAATACTGCAGAGGTTTTCCCCAGAAAAAGGGCATTACAGTACAGCTTCAAAAATCAGATTAAAAGGATTAGTGTGTCATTTTATAATTTTAAATGACTTCCAGTCTGGATTTGAAAAGCCTTATTGTTTTCTCTTCAGGGGACTGACAGTGACGTCAGCCATTAAATATTCTGTCACAGACTTGCTTCTCTTTTTTCTGTGCTCTTGTTTCCCCCTCACCCCATTTCAACATATTTCTCCAAATTTCGGTAAAGTAGATCAGATGTGAAAGATGAAGAACATCATTAAAATGTGCAAAATTGGAGAAATTAACAAAAATAGTAGCTCATGAATTTCAGTAAATGAATATGCCTGTAGTGGGATAAAAAGGCTTCTAAATATCTTGGAACACTTCTTATTAACACAAGACAAAACCCACCAAACACAAAAAACCACATAGGGAAAAAAACACCCGAAACCAACCAACAAACAAAAACAACAGAAAGGAGATCTAGAAAGGTGGTTTTTTTTTTCTTCTTCTTCTTTCATTTCTACTTTTAACCATCTGTTTCAGCCCTGAGAATCAATTCTCTACAAGGTAGTGTACTGAGGTTCTTAGCTCTCTTTCAGAGTAATTTCTTTATCTGCACTGATTGCCACTTAATTCATGTGACACAGTAAAAACTTGCTCAGCCTGACTTCTACATATCTTGTGCAACCTCTGATAAATTCAATTTTAATGTAATTCTGCTCTTGTACAAGCCAGAATATGACCAATACTGCTGTTGGTTCAGGGTTGCTAGCAGACATGGAAAGCAGAAGATGACAATTAAGTTAATAAATACAAGAAGGGATATTTTTTGTAGGCTTCAGAGAAAATTGTAGTGTACTTGCAATTGTGATCCCTGAATCAGAAACTATAAATATATAGGTATTCCCTAGTATATGAGGATAATAAAGCCCTACTTGTGTAGGTATGGTGAAGACATGAGAAACTTAAGTTGCACTAGTACCACTGGATAGTTCAGCAACCACAGTCTGGACAAAGCTGCTTTTGTGCTTCTCTCCATGTCATGCTAAAATGTGTAATACCAACAAATTTTATTTCTTTTTTTTTTTTTAATTCCCTTTGTACATATCCTGTCAGGCGCACTTGGAACTGGATATCAATTCTATGGATGTCAAAACTGAAGAGGATTTTAATTTGCTTAAGATAAGCAATAGCAAGAGATATGAAATTCTCAAGGAGATCCTGATATCACTTGGCCTGCGTTGTGAATTAAGTGAAATTCCTATGTTAACACCTAGTTATCTTCTCTCTTCTGATGAGGTAAGGCTTCTGCTTACATTTCAGTACCCTACAGGACAAATTCAGTGTTCACTTAAATAGACCCTGTTTCATAAGTGGTATTTTTGTTTGGAGAGGTTTAGGTATGTATTACAGGTAAGCAAAAGGTTTAATTTCTACTCTGTCACTATTTTGTTACCTGCTGGTAGTAGTTTTGAATTTAACCACGGGGAAATTGTGCAGGATTATCTTTTCAGGTATATTTGCTGTATTTTTGTTAAGAACTTCTATGCTTATGTTCATGGTTCTGCAGTGTCACAACACAAGGCTGTGGTAATCTACAGAAAGAACTTATTTATAAGACACGATTCGTTTGTCTTTTAAAATGAGGCAGAAAGTTCTGTATAGGCTGGCAACAAAATATCAGACCAAAATGATGGGGAATGGTGTAGCAGACCAAAACTGAAAGTGAGTAAGGGAGAGTGTGATTACACAATGAAGAGCTTTATTCTTCAGGATATTGTAATATTTCGTGGAAATAGAATAGCTTCTTGTGATTCAAATAGCTGTCTTCTCAATTTGAGACTTTGCTATGCTAAGAAGAATTGTGAAGAACATATGAAGCAGTATTTTTAACTTTTTTTAGAATTCAGCTTGACTTCAAATAATTGAGAACCATATGATGTTGACCTGAAGTGGTGAAGCAGTAGGTGATTAAAAAGCTATTCAGATTACTCAGGCTCTTTGAGGTTGTTGTTTCCAACCCATATAGTGCTATTGGTATTGCTCTTACCACGTTTGTCTGATTCCTGCTCCTTTACTGTACCACCATTGCATTAGCACAGAAATGAGGTATCTGTCTTTAGGAGAACTCAGCTGTGGAAGCTCCTCCTTGGATGCCAGTTTCCAGCAATGTCATATGTAACTTCCCTTTTTGGCTACAGGATCAATCAATGAACAAAGTGACATATTACAGCTGAATGCTTTTCAGTAACTTGGATGATATTTTACATTGTACTTTTCAAAACACTGTTCATCAAACTGGAAGGTGGGTATGATAAGCATTGCACAATTTATAGATTGGGAATATGTGATGTGTGACTTCATTGTATGGCAGGCAAGTCAGGAGCAGATCCAGGCAAGCTGACTAAAATACTATCATTAGGTGTATCTGTGAATTCAAATCTGCTTTTTTTTTTGTGTGTGTTTCACTGCCAAAACTTCCTACTCGTGCCTTAAGTAACGCCCTTGTATAGCAGCTCAAATGAGGTAACAATTTTTGATCAAAATTAGGCAAAATGCAGAGATTTTTTTTTATTCCCCTTGAGTGATCACCCTTTCACATGTGCCAGACTCTGCCAGATCCATCTCCACTTCACAATGATGAAAATACTGTTGGAAGTGCTTCTGTTCAGCCTTCTGCTTGAAGCATTTTATGCAATTTATAGCTGTTGATGCTTTATTATATTGTCTGGTGCTACAAAGAAGTTTTTGGCTCTGTCATTCTTTTAGCTCTCTGAAGTAGTTACAGGTTGTTATTTAATCACTCCTTGGCCTACTCTTTGCCACACTGAGTGAACCTGGCTTCCTCATCCTCTTCTTACAGATTCCTATAGGAATCCTAACTACCAATTCCTTGTATAAGCTGAAGTCTGCTTTCCCAAGAGCTACCTCTACTGCTTTCCTTCTCAGCCATCCTCCAGATCTCGTATTCTTACGGTTGCTACAGCCAATGCTGCTGTCTCTGAACAAATAAGAAACCAGTTCTTCTCTGTCTGAGAGCAGTAAATTCACAAGAATTGGTTGTCTATTTGTGTGACAGTTGTAGAGACAAAACTAAACCCCCATTTAGCTATTCTGACTAATATTAAATGTGCTCTATACAGAAGACTTGTCATTTATTGAACTCTTCCTTTTATTGGTCTCTTCCTTCACTCTTTTTTAGTGATTGTTTCTTTCCTATGCACTTGCAATTTTCAAACACTCCATGAATAAAAAATTATCCAATGTCTACCCAAACTTGCCATCTAGTGGCATGTTAGACAGTTGCAAGCCATCTATCTTTTTGCAACGTGTATTGTAGAGTTAAAGTTTATACCAAAATTATTTTTTTAATATTGTTTTTCCACAGTTTGGGTTTTGTTGGATTTCTTTTTTTTTTAATGGTAGCTTTTCCAGGTTGGTGGGCATAGTCATTGTTTCAATGTCTTTTGCTCTGGCTGTGACACACTTCTAGAATATTGTGTGAAAGGAAGTCACATTTTGTGTGTAAAAACTACAGTTAAGAATGAAGAGACAGGATATTAAAGTAAATAAGGAATATGTAACCGTTCAGCTTTCTAACAAGTTATTTATTTTTCTCCATGCATCATGTTCTACATAGATCTTCTTGCTTTCCTAGAAAGCAAGGAGATAGCAGAAATGTCCCTGATAGGTGAATAATTTGAGGAAATACTTAAAGTTGTTTGAGATCAGAGTGTGTATGTTGTACTGGAAATGGAAGAAATTATCTTGCAAGCTATAGTACTCTTGAACTTCCTTCTTTTTTAATCACTGTTTGTATGGAGAGCTTGTCCAGTCAGCTCACTGGTGAGGTGGTGGATAGTATATTCCTTCCCTGAGAGATTATCAAGTAATGCTCCTTGCTAGCAAGTTATTTTTGGATGATTTTCTTATGCTGCACTGTAATAGGAAATGTCATAATGAGTCAACTAGTGATCAAGCAAGTTCAATGTCCTGCTAGCAGTTTCACAAATGAAGGATGGCAGATGCTCTTCTTGTTTTTAAGAGTTGACAATTCATTAACGGTTCCTCACCCCCAAACTTGAGGTTGCATCTGCATTATGTTCAGAATCCACTGGTAGACCTAATCTTGTCAGATTTTTCTAATTAATTTTAGAAACTACAACCTCCTTTTGCTTATGTGGAGAAAATAATAATTGATTTTGCTCTGCATGTTCTGTTCCATTAAGAAAAAAAGATTCCTCTCGCCCCCCAACCTTGTTTTTAAATTCTTTAAATTTAAAGTGCTGGTTTGGTTAGTTTTTACTTTGCAATCTGTAACCTTCAGTTTTCAATAGAGCTGTACCCTATTCTGTGTGATCTCCTTGGTTTCTCTTCTGAAGCGATAGAGGAGAAAAGAACTTTAATCAGACTTGTCATCTACTAAATTGTGGCCATCAGATAAAACTTTCTCAGCTTTATTATGTGAAGAAATTGCATATTCTGTCTTTTCCTCTGCCAGAAATTCCTGAACAACTGGAGTCTTTTTGCATTATTCTTGAGATGCTGTTAATAATCCAGTCAAATCTTTTATGATGATTTGTTATAAATTTGAGCATTAAGACTTTCAGATCTTCCTGTCTGCTCGCTGGTTCTTGGACAGTGCCTTTTACAATGTAATTTTTAGCTGCTTCTGAAGTGTGGATTGGAGTTATATTTTTTCTTTTTTCTCTTTAAGATTCACTTTTAAGTTTTAGTTTCCAGTTTATGTGGTTATCAAGTATCTTAAAATCACAGTCTTACTACATGGATTAAAAAAGACAATGAAATGGGAGAAAACTGGCATTAGCCTTCTGAAAATCAGTATACCTTTAGAATTTTGGGAGACAATTTCTTTAATTCCTTAAAAGTGCTAATTCTGGGGAGAAGAGTTGAATCTTGACTTCAAGTGTCCAGGATTTCATATATGTTATCTATTACTTTTTTTTAAGTTTGTGTGTTTTAAAAGCTCAGGGCTAGCTTGATGTGTGAAGAAATAAGCGAAAGTATAATTAACTTACACATAATTAAATTTCAGTGTAGTGTCCTTTTCTCTGAAAAAAAAAAAAAAGACTTGGAAAGGCAGATGTTAATATTTCATCAGGAGTTCTGGACTTTGTAATGTACTTTTTGCCTCTGACATATGAAAAGAAAATTTTAGTTTAGGATGGAATGTAGGAGACTTGGGAAGAAATATTTAAACCTTGACAGAAGTTATGTTGAAAATTACACAATTAAATTTTATCACTGGAGAAAAATGCATTAGGAATGGGGTGGTCAAGCTTTTAAAAAAGTGATATATTGACTGCCTATGGCTTAGACACACTAGTTTTATACTGCTGATACTGCTCTAAAGCAGGTGGAGATTTCCACCTGTGTTATATTCAAGTTGGAGATAGAATGAGTTGGAGAATGTACTAAATAAGCACCGAATCTCATTTTAGCTGTTGAATATCTTGTTAAATGACAGAAGTTAGATCATTTTGTTACCACTGTTGAGGTAACAATATTTAGGTTACTTGCCAGTAGAAAGTTAAAATATTGGATTGAGATGTCAAACTAGACAATACAATTTCTTAAATTTTTGTGTGTGTTGCCATTACTGCTGTGATAGATTCCCATGTCTTGGCGATTTTCCATTTCACCTTTTTAATTTTTTTTTTCTGGGTTTCTTCTGTTCACCTGGCATTTTCTGAGAAGTGTCCACTGCCTTCACCAGTGTAAGACTGAAATTCTGATAATATTATGGTTTGGAATTCAAATAAACCCTCTAGTATCTGAATAATGGAAGATAATATGTTATGAGATCTTACGCTAGTATCTGAATAATGGAAGATAATATCCATCTGTTATGAGATCTTACATGTAGAATTATGCTAGTCAATCATCAGCTAGTGCTCACTGATGTTGATACTGAATGATTGCTGTGACAGCTACCACTTTTATTCCTGATATCCTTTCCTGTAAGAAGAGTATAAGGTAGGAGGTCTGGAAAGTGACAACCCCTGAGGTAACTCTTTCGTCACAAGACTTTTTCCATAAGGTTTGCAGTTATGGTTTGCTTCACGTACACAGCTATGGACTTTTTCAAATTGAGTCAACTGGGAAAAGTACCTATTATATTGATGCAGTGTTACAACAACAATTAAGGCATTGTTTGAACCAAGATTAATATAATATGAAAAGCAAGTTCCTGGGTTTTTTAAAAGTTTAGTTAAATCTGCACCATTTGTTGGTGTTCAGTGTAATTTGAGAGACAAGTACAGATACTGAAACACAGA